ATAATCGTCTAATGGGTTGACTGGTGGTATTATAACCCGAAATGGGCAAGGGTTCTGCTAACTGACTAACCGCTTTTAAGGGCCTTCCTTCGTTCCAGCCGAGAGACTCATGCTGTGTGCCTGGGCCACGCTGGAAAGTTGGAGCTGGGACCAATGGCAACACTGAAACCCTAAGACAAAGACACATGAGCCTTGAAAGGACCCCTGAAGCACTGAAAAGGGACCCGAGGCCCTGAGGAATCCGAAGGCAACTCTCGAAGCTCCGACACACCGACCTCAAGACTCTCCCTTGCCCTTGAAGCAGGTGACGGCAATGGCATCAGCCTACAATCCAACCCTCTCAAAGGGGTGGCCTGTCCCCTCGCTGTCCAGCAGCTTCCTGGGCCAAGGACATTCGAGGCACGGGGCTGCTCAGCTCAGAGCTTCTCCCCCTCGGGCTGAGGACACAGAGCTCCAAACGTGGAGAGTCAGGGATGACCATGACTTTGCTGCGCTACCCGCTACCTATTCTGGACATGAAGCAACCGGACAGCCTGCAATGCCTGTGTGACGTGAGCACCCAGACAGAAAGCCCAAGAAGGCCCAGCGCCAGAATCCGAAGCCCAGCGGCTTGATCCACTTGCCCCCTTCGGCAGGGGTGAGGTCCTTCTTCGTGCCGTCCTTTACCGGTTGGGGCGTCTTGGCCTGTCAGCCGTTCAAGGAGGAGGCCCCAGGATGATCCCAGAACCCAAGAAAGGGCTCCAGAGCGCCAGCACGCCTTTCCAAAGAAAATCTGAGGCTAAGGGAGGTAGCACCTTCCTGACCCACGATAGCCCTCTTAACTCAGTCCCGTGATCCTTCAAGTCCCCCCCCCCCCACAAGCACTCCTTGTAGGGTCCCTTCTCCACGTCGGCCCACCTCGCTTCGAGGCAGTTGTGTTCCAGATCGGTTTAGACGACGGGGATTTCGATCTCGCCCCGTTCTTCCAAGTGTCTGCTCTGGGCTCCCCAAACACCTCAATTCCGACAAAAACCAAACACTTCGCTTGTCAATTTGTCAAGTTGCATGTCCGCCCTGCTGTTGGTACCCCCGAAGCCAAACGAAGACACGCCGCAGCACATGGCCTCGGCGACGGCGGCTCGAGCTTGGGGCTTTTTTTTTTTTTGTGCGTGGCGGGCTTGCCCCCTGAACCCGGCCCCGGTTTCAAACTTGGGGCTTGAGATTCACCCTTCGAGGGCTTTACTAGTAGGACCTTTAGGGCTTTAAGCTCTTGGATTTGGGATTTCCTGCAGCTCCGTGGTCCTCAAGGCCAGAATCTGAGTGGCTGGCACGGTCCGAGAAATCTTGGGGTTTGGGGATTTCTGGTTCCAGGGGCTTGTGGCTTAAATAACTCTTAAGGGAACCTCCCGGAGCCGCCTCAACCCTCCAACAAAAATTCGGACGTCGAAAGCAAACCATTCAATCTCCTGACTTCGTCTCGATCCTGACTTCCAGGCAAGGCTCTCGATGCGATGAGCAGGTGAGCTCCTCGGCAGTCACAGCGAGCGAGGGCTTTGTCGGATTTCTGCGACGGGGAGCTCGGTGCAGTTGGACTCGTAGAACACGCAGACTAGGGGTCTTGGACACGAGGTGCCCGAAGCCAACAACTCGTAAACGGTGACAAGAAGGACCGACGACGCGCTGCGCAAGGAGAGGCTCCGAGGAAGGTCTGGCTCACCAGTTCTTTGGAGCATTCATGCGACTTAGAAAGTCGGTTCCGCTTGGGGGCAAAAGCAACAGAATTGTGGAGATCCGCAATATATACCTATACTCATGTGTACTTACTACGTCTTAAGTCTTCCTTAGCAGTAGCTAGAATGCACCTTCTGGTGCGGCCGTGTAGCCCGTTGACCGTAAAAAGGGGCAAAGACAATATAATTAGGGATACAGCGACTCGAAGGGGATATTCTGATGACAAGCTAACTACTCTGGCTTTTATCTTACCTATTTTGGTGCTCGATTATCCAGCGAACCCAAGATGGGGATCATAAGCTCTCCACGATCTGGAGAGTATGGTTTGGGCAGAGTAAGGGCCCATGGCTCACACCCTAATGACGAAACCGCGAGTGCCTGTTCACGGTGTCGCATTGGATTTCCTGACCTGCAAGCTGGAGACTAGCGATCAACTCCCACTTGCTCTCTGACGGGCCGAAGTTTTGATACGATATCAGCATGAGCCAAGCATAGAAAGCCCATGCCCTTTCCACTTCAACAGTCCCCCCAAACTCGAAGCACCGAAGCACGAGCTCTCAAGGTGTGGATGTTGCTCCTTCGCAACACGATCCTTCCCTGCACTGAATCCAGTCCAGGGCGCGTTCGTGAACATCACCGGGTATGCCGAGACATCCAGGTGAGGGTTCAAGGTCGTTAGATGTGGGTTCGGCGTCGAGACCTTCACCAGACAAGGTTCTCATCGTGTGCTTCATAAGCATGGAATGAGACTGGGAGACCGAAGTCACATGGCAGTACCGACAAGGACTCCGGGACAATTGAAGCGATGCTCTAAGGGCGCTTGAGAAGTGCTGGGATTGCTTCCAGGCGGCTCCACCGTTAAGCAGCATGACGACCTCAGCTTTAGTCGCTTCGGACGGCTCAGGGCCGGATAGGAGTCTGATAGAAGTGCGATGCGCCAGGAGGCCTTGATGAAACCACATGTGCCAGCGTTTGCCTCCTGCACAAGTGCTCACGGCTTCAACGAATCCTCCACTTTCAGCTGTTGACTCGTCAAGCAGGGACAAGCAGGTGCCCGTGGCGAGGTCGCGCCGAGGATCAACTTCAGGCTTTAAGCCCTTCTTCAGTGTGTTTTCGATTTTTGTTCGAGCTTGATTTCTTGGTGCCTCGTGGCCGACGTTGGACTTCGCGGAGGCGTGGAGCAGGGGATTGTCGCTTCGCTTGCCCATCCTCGGAAATCCCATGAAAAGGCTGAAACTCAAAGCCCTACAGCCCGAAAAGGAGGGGACCCAATATAAGATCGCCCAAATTATGAGATCCTGGATGTGAGCACTGCCTGATGCAGGCATCCCTCGTCACATTCCCAAAGCTCTGCCCCAACGGCCGTCGTTCTTTGTTTGAGGCAATGCTCTTGCTGCAGAGCTCAAACCAAGGACGACTTCAACCCAGTTTGTTGCGGCTCTTATTCGTCTCCTCCAAAACACTTAAACTAGACTTAAACAGGCCGAGGGAGCTGCACCGACTTCATGGCACCGATCTCGATGGGATCTCCCAGGGCGGTGCCGGTGCCGTGGCATTCTCCGATTTGCACCTCGCTCGCGGTTCAAGGCCCAGGGCCCATGGAGGCTACGGGGGTTGTGCGGTTCTGCATCAGGCTTCCCGGACGAGGCTGGCAGAAGGCAGAACTATCTCACGTTAGCAGTCGAAGCTACCCTTACTCCAACAGTGAACTCTTCCGAGTGAGCCTCACGCTCTCAGGCCGCTCAGGATAAGGAACAGTTCTTCGCATCAACACTGCCCGCTATCATCAAGGTCATAGCAATAGGAAGACAGAAATCTGAGCCGAGCAGAACTCCCACGATCCTACGCAGCAAGAATAGAACGGAGGCTCAGGGACTTGTCCCAACAACTCCGAGTTCCTGCAGCTTGATGAACTCTCATGATCAAGCCTTGTAATTCTCTTCCCGGCCTCTCCCGGCGACAGCCGAGCCTCTGCCAGCGAGGCGCGGATGCACATCCTTCAGTTTTCGGCAGCTTCAGCTCCAAGGCTTTTGGGGCCCTGCGCCCTGGGGTAAAGCTTAGGGTGAACTAAAGACGCCAGAATGGGAAAGCGTGTTATTCCAGATCGAGCGACTGCTGTGAAGGGCCGTGCGGTGCTGTCAGTGAAGCAGATCGGCCATCCTCGCAGAATCGCGGGTTCTGCGGAAAGTTTGGGAGGGTTCTGTGTTCAGTGAGAGGTCGGCAAGTCGGAACCCACTCATCGTCTTGGGCTGAAGTCAGGACTCTTGACTATGACAGACGCCAGGGCAGCAGATGGCAGCTGCGCCAGGACACTCGCTTTGCAGCAGTTGCCGAGGTGCCTGGTTGGCACAGCTGCCCATGACGATCCTGGGCAAAAACACAGTGAGCTGTAGGCAAAAGACTCTTCCCTTGCGCTCAGGCGGGTCGTCAGCTGTCTCAACCCTGGTCATGAGCAACTCTACATCGAAGTATCGAAATCCACCTGGCGCGGTCTGAGACCGTGAAGCCAACAGACGCAAGCGTGTGCCTCCTGTACACGCACTGGGCCCTAGCTGCCCAGCGCTTCAGCGACGGTGAAGTGAAGATACCGGTTTCGTCGCTCCGAGGGTCGCCAGGCTCCGCTCTCCAGCCGCCCGCTCGGCATCGTTCTCTGCAGCCAGGTGCACTCCACAGCAGCCCTGGACGAGACCGTTTTCGCGACACTCGTGACACTGAAGCCAGAGCTTCCTGTCCCGCTTATATTGATCGGGGTTGTGTATCGTATGTTGCGACTCTTCGTGTCAGGCCAGGATCATCTCATGTACCCCAGTGCTGTAGGACCTCGAGCCTACCTCCTGATGCCTCGCTGCTTCGGCTGTCCTGAAGCTCAACAAACCTTGGATCTTGGTGATGGCATCTTGAAGCCTCTCCCCGAATGAATCCGTCCGCGCCGACGTCGAAGGTGAAGGCACCTAGGAGATTTGGCTGGTGGTTGGAGCTTTCGTCTCTGTTTTCTTTCTGCTGCTACGCCCTTCAAGGCGACTTAAGGTTCTTGTTCGAGCTCATGATCCTGAAGGGCTCCAGGCACAGCTCCCTTCCACAAAGAGAGGCCAAGCCCCACACGCCCTTTGTAGGACAACATCGTCGCTGCACACTCGCCAATCCAGCCCGCAGGGTGGAGCATCACCTGGGCTTCTCATCCGCCATGGTGCAGGTCCAGGACTCAAGCTCGCAGTCTCAAACATCCCTCGAAGACTTGCAACGGAGCGACATGCAGTGGACCGGTGTAAACATCAACAGCGCCATGGTGGAAGGCTGAGGCCAGCCTTACTAGTTGAGGCTAGTGGCCAGGACGCCCATGCAGACGGCATACTTCAGCTGCGCCTGATCCTTCATGTTGTCCTGAAGTGCACCGTGCTTTTTTAGGATTAGGTCTCACAGGCTTTGCGTCGCTTGACATTCTTTCATGCAAGAACAGAACAGTCTTTCTCGCCCAGCGCCGGCTCGTCAGGGACCCACATGCTGATGCCCAAATCGCCTCAACGCCCCTGAGCTTAATGCAATGCATTTCGCAAACTCTTCCCCGTCCTCGCTCAGCGGCGCAATCTTCTCTCCGATGCGTGTGTGCCGCCTGTCGATCGTGGCCCGTACATGAGGTCGTCAAAGGGGAGAGATTTTGGATTTGAGAAGTTTTTTTGCCGTCGGAGATGCATGTACATAGCCGTCCTGACACATCGTCCATGCTCAGGGAAGTTGCTGGACTACGTGGCCCGAAGCAGAGTCCCTGTACAGGCACGGAGAACAGCATCAGCTTCCGTCTCTGCCTTGATGTACAACTTCATGTTTTGCTTGCAGATGAGAGCTTGAACTGCTCTGCGGCTTCGAATTTCTGGTAAACGGTCTCAGGATTCTTCGTGCATGGGATGGGAGGGGGCTTGGGATTGAGACACAACATGGGGTTCCGTGACAAGGAAATTGATGCGGTACGAGTCTTGCACGAATCCAAGCCTGCAAGAGCCAAGACCCAGGCACCCACTCAACAGACAAACACATGCAGCACCAAACCCCAAGTGGCAAGTATCTGCCTGACCATCATGTGTGCCGCTGCGTTCGTTGCGACCAGAGAAGCAGAGCAAGCTGTATCCACCTTAGCATCACCGCAGAGCCAACTGTTCGGGGAACTCCGAGGATGCATGCGGCAAGTTCAAGGTTCGGAGTTCCATCCAGTACCCTAGAAAGTTGGGAATTTTGGGCTTGCCCTTCTTGTGGATTATGAAGGATTTGCTCCATCAGCTTTTCGCCACGCGGCCGTGACGTTGGGCCCAGTCAGTCCTCGGCTTGGTCTTGGGCCTTAAGGAGTCAGTATGGTCTTTGGACTATGTACTACAGGAACACCCGGGCCCCAGGGGCACAAAGGCGCTTCTCGTCGTCTGGCGTGCTAATCCAACACTCTTGCATCCTCCTTGTGGAGTGCCATCTGCTTCAGTCTTGAATTTTGCTGGGCAAGGCATGGCCCGCCTTGTCCTCAACGTTTTTCTGTTGTGACTTGTGGGTGTCGTTACGGCGAAGGATATACTGAATATGGTGAAAGTTGGTTCGCATTGGGCCAGCTCGGCTTGGCTTGGTCGGCACAAGGTTGATTAGCTGTTGTCTCCTCTCTTGGCTGTATGTATATACACACGTACAGAATACAGAGACACATGTGTACATATGTGTATGTGTATATGTATAGATATATATATATATGCTACCCTTACCTTTTTGGTGGCTTTCCAGGACACGTGAGGGAGCATGTTCCCAACACTCGGGGCCATGTTCAGTTTTTTAATGCAAACCCGTGTTTATCTGCTTTGGCATTGTGCTGCGAGGATTGTCTTCATCCGGAATCCAGGTCAGGCGAAATATAGTCAGCATAATGAAACAAAGCTACCCCTAAGGCTTATACCAGACTAGCTGCAGGATCGCTACTCTCCTAACCATTAACTTTTAGAGTTGAGGGCTGCATGTAAGCTAAGCTGTCAGGTTACAATGAGGCTTCCGGCTAATGTTTTGGCGCTAGGATGACCATTCATGATATTCCTGCAGTTCAGCGTTTGCATTTCGAGTAGTTTGTTTGTGAGAGTGGAGGTGGGGTGGGGGAGGGGCTATCGAGGGTAAAATCAGTTGCCATTGCGACGACTATCAGGGCCAAGGCCCGATCTTAGTGTTAAGGTTGACGTTGTTCAGAATGAGGAACCACTTCAACTTCACTTTGGTTCTTGGGGCTTGATCCCTAGTCTGCATGTAAATATCAGAGTTGCCGTGGGAGTTCATATGGGGGCCGATGTTGAGCTTGGGGAAGAAGCGTCGGCAATAGTGAATAATGCAGACACAGTGAATATGGGCAGGAGTGGTGAATAATGCGATGACGGTCCATATGGGCATTTGCAAAAGCTCATGTTAAATCGGCTGGCAGTACTTCAGGGTCGGAAAAGCTTTCTTGCGCCCATATGAGGGCTGCCATTTAGGCCACCATAATACAAAGCTGAATCGTATGCTACAATAGAAGAGACGTTGGGGTTGATGTTGGCTTATTACTACTACCAAGTAGGGATCATGTTGGGCCAGCAGCACTGTTTATCTTCAGCCATGTCCAATAGATTTCAGTGAGTAACACACGGAAAAAACACTACATACTATCGTGGGTTTGCTTTGCATACGGCTCTACAAGGATAGGGTAGCACGCTGGCACTCAAAGTAGGGTGAATATGAAAAGCCGTGGCATTCTTAGGTCGATTGCTACTAGGAATGATATTGTTTCCAATGGACTTCAGTGAGCAAGACACGGGAAACAACGCTACTTTTGTGCATCGTGGATTTGATTTGCATGCAACGCTGGAAGGGTAGGCTGTCATGCTGGCACGCGGCCGGCCACGTACATGGGCAGGGTAAGTGACTTGGAGTTCAGTCCGAAGTGTTGAACTTCAATCCCGAGGATTGAACTTCAATACTCCCGGATCCAAGATTCGATTCAAAATTCCGTAAGCTGGCCTCCAAAACCATATTATATATATATATGTATACATAAGTGTATAATTATGGAGATGCGCACATATATGTGTTATGTACTTGTGTATTCATTTGTGTAGTTTATTTGCGCTGTTTCTTCTGTTTCGATCATATGCTATGTGAATATCAACTTTCTTATATATCCCGCGGCGGTGCATGGGTGTCAGCTCCGTTCAGGATCTTAGAACCCAACCCGATAGCTTGCTGCAACCTCGGACGATGCATCGGGACTTGTCCGCACCGGCGCTCCAACTCCAGCCCAAAAATCCTTTTCATCTAGGGTGGGCTTCGAAGAGTGCTGGTACACACACACACTTTTCGCACAGCAGGCTCAAAGCTTCGCGAGACCCAAGGAGGCAGCAATCAAAATGGCGTTGCCCTTCTGCCCTTCCCCCCTTGCTGAGTGCCTTTCTCCTTCCTTCCTTCCCTCCTTTGCGGGTTCCTGATTGGCAGCTTTTGCTTGTTCCATGTGTTGAACTGTTGAACTATTGTTGACCTGCATTCCTTAAGGCTCGGAGCTCGAACAACGCTAAACCCTAACATGGGCTATCGGAGCTAGAATGCCTCAGGCCGTAGATGTAGGTCAACGTCAACCTAATGGAACCAAGGCCAAGTGATTGAACTGCAAACTCGGATGATGGGATTCCTTCGGAGGTCCTGAGGTGGCTGCCACAATCCCAAAGACCGCCAAGCTCATAATGAAGCCCTGTTGGGATCTTCCAGGCGGGTAACAACGATCAAAAACCAAAAGCTTCAGTAACGGAGGACAGCACGTGACTGCTATGCAAGTCGTGGCTCCGAGGCAATGCGAAAGCCGGGAGCAAGTCACGTAGCCCGAGTTGTTGGTGAGACTCAGTTCGACAGGAGATAAATTTCAGGTAGAGGGACTACAGGGCTTGCTGCGACGAAGCTCCAACTTAGCCAGCTATAGTAGATCCAGAGCCCGCAAAAGTTCTTTCAGCACATGGTACGCAACCAACCCCTCGCTCCGAACACAAACCTGGTACCTGAGACAGCACTCGAACCTCTCCTTTTGCCTCAACTCCCCAGGTGATAGAGCCCTGCTGAGTCCGGCGCCAATACTGGTCTTGCCTTGCACAGGACTCGGATCGGTGAAAGGAAACCCAGTGATGCGTTTTCTGGTTTAGGGTTTTGGGGAGTACGGGTTTAGGGTTGAGGGCTACGGAAAAGGTTCTGCACAGGACTGACAAGGGGTATGGGACCCAACTTCTAGGTATATGAGCGCTGGTTCTGATGCTACTGATGTCCGCCCCGATTGCAAGTGACGCACAGATACACGGCCTCAGATAGATCTGGTTCCACTCGCTGCCAGAATCGCCCATGAACGTGCCGACCCGTTTTCCTGCCAACGACTGACGATGGCAGAGATGGCACCAAGCAGGCAAACTCAAGGCAAGACTGCAAACCTTGAAACCCTAAACCCTCATAGCTACACCCTGCTCGAATGCCCGGGATGCACAGCTGTACCCGAAACTCGACTGAAGGTCAAATAGCAGTGGCCTCGCAAGGCGCGTTTCGTCCAGCCCGCCTTCCAAAGCACCTGATGAAACAAAGCCCACTTCACCAATGAAGGCAGTTACCTTCATCATACGTTCTTCAAGACTTGAGGCTGTCTCGGACTTCGGTCTGGCAAGGTGAAGTTCAGTGATTACGACTGAGGACTCATCCTGAGCCGCATCTTCAACGAATCCCGTTGACTTGGACAATGAGAGGAGGCCCTCTGGCCTTTGTGCGTCTTATCACGGGACATAACCGGCAGGAGTGCTGCAGCAGCTTCGCCTTTGCTTTCAGCGACTGCACTGCTTGAAGCCTGCGCCCATATTGCGGATCTGAACTGAATCTGAATGGGTCCTAACTGTCAAAACTCTGAAGCCCCATCTTCCCCACGTTTCTTGGGCCTCGTAACCCACTTCGAGGACCCACCGTTGACTTGGCGCGATCGCCTCAAGAGTTCGCGCTTTGTTTTCGATTCGGCGTCGACGACCTTGATCTCTGGGGGCTGGAGCTGCTACTTGGGGCGGTGGGCTCTGCACGCTGGGTCCCGAATGCTGGAAAGGTTGAGTTCGGGTCTGCGAGACTCCCACGTCTCCCTGGCAGGCTTGCCTTCCAGATTAAACCCAGCATCCAAAGTCTCATCGACCTTCCAAGCAGCTCTGAAGCTGTGCCTGCGACCCCCAACATGAGCAAACCCCGATGAGCCTGAGCTTCTTCGAGGTCGATGCCGAAGAAGTCGTTGTCAAAGCCTGGCTCCGCTTTGCTTTGCAAGTGCCTTGACTGGGGCTTTCTACTTGGGGTTTAGGGTTTAGGGTTCTAGACTTCGACTTCTTTCCAATGGCATCTCCTGGATCACCGCACCCGAGCTGCTTGCAACATAACAAGACCTTGCTGCCAAGATCAGATGCGCGGAGGCTCTGAAACCCAAGCCAAAGAGAAGCAGAAACTCCCAGTGCCAAAACCTTAAACTCTAACCCTGAAACTAGACCCGACGCCCCAAAAACTAAACCCTGAGCAAGCCAATGGAAACCGGAAACCCTGAAAAGCCGCCACCGGGCCTATTAACTGGTTTTCGTTCACGAAGGAACCTTGACAAGCGGCGACGTCACGTTCGATTTCTGGATTTGGGGGTGTGAGGTTACAGTAGGGTGTTGGGCTCAGGGTTTAGGACTGAAGCGACGGTTCTTTAGAGCATTCTTGGGGATTTCTATTAAATGAGGCATGGCTTTGTACATAATTAAGGATCCTTGGAAAGGATCTTGGTGTTTGCATTGCTTTCGGCAACTCCCGGATCGGGCTCCAAGAAGAAACTCGAAAGGCCCTACAGCCCTCGAACCAGCTTCCGCGGGTCTGGTAAGTAGCATCCGAGATCCGGGCCATGCATGATGTATGCCAAACCACGCATGGGCGCATCACGCTCGGGCGAGTAGTACAAATCCTGGACTTCGCATGGCTGGAGGGCACGACTTAGAGCTTCAAGGTACGCGCTGTCACCCTAAACCAGCATTAAAAACCAAGTTGAGACTGATAGAAGAATTGCTTCGGGCCGATCATAATCTCTGAAACTTGCGGCCGAGAAGGTTTGCAGTTTGCCGTGTCAGTTGCAGTCCGTCTGCGCTCAAAGCCTGAAGCATCTCTCGGTTGCGCCTTTTCCAACTCGGAACTCTCAGCAGCATTGATGCTGAATCCGGACATGCAACACGTAGCTCACACACCTCAGACCCAAGTCTTTTCCTCAACACTGGAATTGCAAACCGGCTTCCGATCTGGAGACCGTACTCCTAGCTCCTGTTCATCGTCATGTCTAGGGCCTAGACCCGAGATTGGTGAGCGAGAAACCCATGGCCTTGTCGAAGCGCGTGATGGGTGGCTCCACGAGCGTGTCAGTGCCGGCGCTGAAAAGCCTCGTCTTTGCGGTGTCCCACCGCGCCCGAGAGGCAACCAGGGCTGCGGCTTTCAAGCGGTCCAAAGACAGTCCCCGTCTCTGCATGCTGCTTTAGCCCTCAAGCCTCAGGGATCCAACAAGAGAAAACAACTCTTGCTCCAGGCTGCGCGAAGCTCATGTCACAGTTCTCTGCGCCGGCGGGGAAGCGCTCGGTCATGGACCTCACATTTCATGCACAAGCTGTTAAGGCAAGACTTGCTCGCGCACTTTGGAGTTTTGAACCGCTTGGGGAGTTTACGGGTCAGGCTTTCGTCCTCAAGAGCTGCAACCTCAACATCTCCAAAGGCACGGCATCCAAATAGTCAATCTAAAGCCTTCAGCCAGACGCAGAAGCCGCCCAGTCGCTTCACATGCACGCGGTCGCATCCCTGCTCGCCTTGCGCACTCAGTTCACAAGTAGGGTTGTTGAGTTTGGGGTTTTAGGGTTTTTGGGAGAAAGGGGTGGGTACGGCGCTGCTGCTTTGGCACCTCATCCCGAGCCGGAAGCTTCTCGAGTTTGGCTGCTGAAACCTTGAGGAACCGAGTCAGCCCTTACAAAGTGTACTGTAAGTGTTTGTGGTACCAAACATAGAACCCCAACCTCTTTTGAGGGGTCCTTCGGTCCGTCAGGAATATACAAACTTCATGGGAAGGAAGCCCGAATTTGACTCGTAGAAAACCTTAAACACCCGAAATCGTATTACCCTGAACCCCTGCAACCTCAGCCCTGAACCTCAACACCCTAGCACCCAAAGGCCTAGATCCCTAAACCCGGAAACACTTGAGATGCGACTGGTGCCTGGGCACTTTGGCAGCTGGCGGAACTGGAGCGGTTCGGCCTCAAATGATCGGTTGCAGGGTCTCGGAAGCAGAGGGTGTCAGGCCCTGCCAGCATACGCAGCTTGGCGGATTGAGGATCAGGCGCGCTCAGGCAGCTTGAGGATTTTCAACGTTTGGGCTTATTGCTCCGGCTAAGCGTTTACACTTTCCAACAGCTGCAAGAACTTTCTGGCCTTGTCCATGAGCCAGTTCTGCAGGACCAAGCAGTCGTCGTGGTCCGGGAGATACCTGCGTAGGTTGAGGGTTTAAGGGTCGAGCATGCTACGGGTGCTTGGGTACAGGCTGTAGAGGTATGCAGACTGCCAGTGCATGTTAAGTGTTTGGAGGAGTTTGCGGCTCAGTTGGAGATGGCTTGCAAGCCAAGGTGCTACGAGTAACTTCAAGCACGCACGCTCGTCTGAGTTGTCAGCGAGAAGCCAAGAAGTGACAGGCACAAGACCTCGAGTCCCTCCCCCAAACGCCTGTACTCCATCTGGTCATGCCGGAAGAAGACCATGGTCCCCGCTCTCAGGAGCAGCCGCATCGGCAAGCCCACCTCCACAGCGAGATCCTTCCCTCATCCCGGATCCAAGAAACCCTAAACCCTAAATCCTAAACCCAAAATCCTAAACTCTAAACTCTAAACCCTAAACCCTAACCCCAACAGACCCAACGCCCGAGGAGCTCCGGAGATCTCCAAGGAACCGAAACGGAGGCCAAGGCCTCGGGGCCCTTTGGTCGCAGCTCGAGGATGCCTTGGCCTTCCACCTGCCCAGATGGGGCTTAAGCCTACGGTTTAGGGTTTAGGGTTGAGGGTCCCAGATGGGGCTTAAGCCTGAGGGTCTAAGGATTTCAGGGCTTCAGGGTCTGAGATTTAAGGGCTTACGGGGTTTGTGGGGTTTCGAGGTTTGCGGGGATAAGGGTCTCCAAGGGCTTTCGTGTTGGAGGTCGGAGTGGGCTTCAGGGCTCAAGGATCAGAGTTCGGACTTTGCGTTCTGGGCTCGGGGCTCCTGGCGCTGAAGGAGAATCGCGGCTTATCTTAGATCAGCTCCCAACAAACTGGCCTGCACGGGCAAAGCACATTTACCAGAAGTCGCTGGACCTTCTGCAGTTCTTTCACAGCATCTGAGAATCTCGAGCCCGTTCTTTTGAATAGGCCAAGACGGCCAAGACGTGAAGCCCTGAACCCTGAATCCGAAGATTCTACTTGACCTCATAGAAGGCGCAGAGTCGGTGCGAGAGAACCTTGCAACTTGGTCTTTGCAGTCTCTGAGTTCGAAGGGCTCGATGTGTGCTTCAGATCATCGAGTGCCCTCTTTCGGTTTCGGCATGGGCTGAAGCGCAAGAGAGGGCGGGTCTGGCGCACTCAAGGTTCTGTGAACCCAGCCAAGGAGCCCAGGACATGAACTCCTCAGACATTCGCCGATCCCTTTCGTCCATGGCACCCGCCTGGCCCACCAAGGAGACCTTGTTTCTGCAATACCGAAGTTCTTCATCTCCAATCAACGACGCGCAGTGCTGCCAAGTGGCACCCTCGGCAGTATGCGGGATCCTGCCGCAAGGTTTGCTTCGCTTAGTTTAGGGCGGCATGCCGGACCGGGTCTTTCAAGTTTCCAGCTCGGCTCAAAATCTCAGCTCCTCAACCTGTTCACGAGGAACCTTCAACCCCCCAGGGAGAGCAAGAGAGACGAAGCGCGCTTGAGGCTTGCCTACACCACAAAGCCCGCGATAAAGCGGAGAGCCTAACTTTGAACCCTTCCACCACTCTCCCCGAAGCCCGACGAAGGCAAAGCTGAAGCCACAGGCCTGAGGATGCTTCCCGTCTTGCTGTGCCTTGCAGCTGAAGACAGTTTCGGGGCTCCGGGCCAACTAGCGGCATTTTTAACCCGGTACTTTAGCCAACCCTCATCCCAAATTTCGACCATCAAAGAAGTCGTTCTCCCCATGGCTTCAGATGAAGATCTGGGGGCTGCTCCTGCAGCGACAAACCCCATCTGGACCTTTCTCGGGGTTTGACATGCCTGAACACAGAACATGAAATCCCACCCGAGGCAAGCTTGTCAGCAAGACCGAAACCGATTGCCCTTGCAGCCCAGCTGCGCACTCTTGGCGCCGAAGGCCTCGCAACAAGGAAGGCTGACTTGGTGCTTTGATTTAGGCCTCCTGGCTGGGCATACCCATGCTGTGAATCCCAACGAACACCAGCACCGAGCTTCAAAGCTTCACGTGCCCTGGCCCCTTGCAGCTCGAAATCCTCCAACGCCCGCCTCAGGGCTGTAGGACAGCAAGTCGACCACAGCGGTGACGTGCTCGTCGAACTCCTGTCTTGGGTATACGCGGAACGGGCTTACCTTCCTACCTAACCCTTCCAAACCCAAGGCTGAGACGCGAGAGCGGCTTTCTGGCTTTCTCCAACCCGATGCCTTGAGAGCCGTGAAGTCCGGAGGCAAGTCTTTCTTGCGGGCGATCGGCTTTTTCTCCTGGCTCGGGATCTAGTCAACAAAAGACTCGGTTCAGATCCAAGGAGCAAGACGACGCGACAAAGACCCAGTAAAGTAAAGTAGCAACACAACTTGGGCGCTGGGGTGGGGCACGAGCTTTGCATCCCGAGCCTCTTGGCCAAGCCTTGTCCCCACCGGGTTTGACGGGTCCCCGCCTCCTCCTTCTCCGGCTCGGACTCGGAGCCGTAGAGCTCGGGATCGTACCAGCTCCTCAGCTCTCCGGCCCCACCGTAGCGGCGGCGTCTCTGAGCCGTGAATCTTTGTGGTCCAAGGTCCAAGGCACACCGCCGACAACGGCCTAACGCTACCGGAGAAGACCTGAACAAAACTGGCTGGGGTTTTCGGAGGATGGGTGTGGGAGTGTCAGAAAATGATGGACCACAACCGGGGCCCCAAATAGCAGGTAGGATCCTTCATGAAACAGTTCCCCCAATTGTAGCGGCAAGCATCGACTCTGACTTGGTGTCTTCGATCTCTGGCTTGGCTCCATCTGCCTGATCCGAAGGGCCGAACGCTGCGAAGGCATGGCTGGTCTAAGAGGTTCTTAAGGACGTGCCTCATCAAGCTTGAGACTTGGGGTATATGGTCAGGAGAATCCCCGAACAAGTTTCGAGAGCTTCGCTAACGGAATTGGGTGGCTCTGCTTGCGGGCGGTTGCCGACAGCTGCTCAGACCGTTAAACTTTTCTTCAGAAAAGCACTGGCCATGCAAAGTCTCCTGGGCAGTGCATCCGAACCCTGAATCACCTCGAACCGTCTATGAGCCTGGTTTACTAGGAGCCCGAGCCCGAGAACCGCGATCTCGAGTCCCACGACATGACTGCTCGGATACAGCCACGGCAAATGAGTACTGGCACCGTAGAAACTTCCAGGGATGCCCTTACTAAGATCTCCCCGTGGCCTCGTCCGGCTCGTCCGCGATGGCTGGTGCATCGGGGGCTCGGAGTTCCTTTCGGCTTTCGTTTTGAAGTTCCACGTTCTACGGACTCCATGAGGAAAGCAGTCGGCTCTGGTAAATCTGGTATCTTCGGTCTGGGAAGCAGCAGAACCCAGCCCACACGGTCCTTGATGCGCGTCATGTTCTCCAGGCCAAGGTAAGCCTCCCAACTGAGGGCGTTTCCCAGTTCTGTCAGACTCAGCAAACAGGAAAGCCCCCTAAAAGATTCGGGGCTGCCTGCTCCGTCTCCTTCCGGAGCCAGCCCACATCCTGCGATTCAGCCGCGCAAGGCTGCAGGCATTTAGGGATGTAGGATAACTAACCTCACTGGTAACTTACAAATAGCCGGAGATAACCGACTTACCGAGTCCCAGGCCCGCGACGCTTTTGCAATCGTTCAGAGCACGCTTCAGAGACGAGATCTTTGGGGCTTTGAGGCTTAACCGAGCCGGGAGAGTTTGGAGTTTCAGAGCCAGCGATTAAAAATCTCCGAAAGTTGAAAGTATGACCGCGCAGTGTCCAGCACCACAGCTCTGTCACAAGAACACTCCTGCAGCACAAATCACCCCCTTACCCCGCAAGCTATACAACCCAAACCCTAAAATACGAACCCCCAGACCCTTGAAGAGCTAAACTCCCAAAAACAACTCCAAGGCCTCCAGCTTCGCCGCGTTCTCCAGGGCCTCCTCAGCCCGCCGCGGCGAAACGCGGGCGCGGCGGACCACGCAAGCGCCTCGGGCGACCAGCGCCTCACCAAGGGCCAAGAACAGAAGGAGCTTCCGAGCTTTCTGGGAAGCAAACTGCTTCAGGGTTGCTGTATAAGGCTCAGGTGGGCGAACATATAGCGGACGGACTCCCTGAAACGAATTGTACATGTTAACGGCATCAACTATCAGCTCTCCCTGGCATGTCGCGAAATTATCACTTCACTACTGAGCCACAGACTTCCCACAGCCTGATTAAGTTACCACGAACATATCACCGCATACTCACTGAGTGTATCACCAATTCATCGCATATGTATCACGGCTGCACGAAACGTGCACTCATTTACCACGAACTAGTAAACACTCATTCATTACATGAAATGTCAACACCACCTCACCAGTCGCCTGACCTTGTACCCTTAGTCGTTCAACGGAGACTGCCTCGCACAGGCAGTTGAGCATCTGCATGGCCTGTCGCGTCCAGCAACTGAAACGATTAAGGGCAGTTGCGACCTCATTATCACCCAGTTAACTGTGCTCCCACAGGAGACTTGCAACTGGATAAAACGCACAGTTACTTTTCTGAATCTCGAAGTAGGACAGCAAAGGCGCCTGAGGCTTTACACCCAAGCTTCTCTGCACTTCTCGCAATCCCGCATCAGCGATTTAGGTCCCCACCCCGCCTCGCGCTGGCGCTGGGAAACATTGAAGTCCTCCGGCCATTCGACATCGGCCTCGGCTCGTCGGCTCGGCGTGGGCCAGACGGATCTTGTGAGGAGGATCTTAGACGAATTGAGGCGTCATGGAGAAGGCCCGGCCGAATCGAAACAGCAAAACCGTTGACCAGGGCACCCGGTCCAGGAGCGGCGGCTCCTAGGAGCTCGAGTGTCGGTCATCTATAACCTTTCGCTCTTCAAAACCTTGGGCTGCTCGACATGGATTAAAGCCACGTAAGCATGAAGCTCGAAGCCCGCGACATGCCTTCCTCCCTGACACTAAACCCTGAGACCCCTCTCACGGCTTTCCAGGTCCTCGTCGACTGCGGCGACCTGGCATGGCAAGGAGCAACAGCAACAGGTTCTGAGATTGCGCGGGAGGTGGCCTCGAGCCTCGGCCGCAGCCCCCAGAACTTCAAACTCTTAGAAGCCGGTTCCCTTCGCGCCTCCTCCGTCTCGGCCATGTCAGAGCTCAAGCGCAGGAGAAGAGTTCCACGAAGGGTATTTTCTGCTGAGAACCGGGTCTTTCCAGGCTCGTAAACAAAAACTCTCTGGTGCAGGTTTAGAGGTGTGGTTCAAGCGAGTTATCTGAGGCTTTGGGAGTAGTTCCGTGCAAGGAGTCGAGTGGAGTTGATGCCGGTAGGGCTACGTCTGATATGCTGAGCAAGCCCCGTATCTAATGCCAGTCATGTACAGCCGCAGCTCTGTTGAAAGCCCAAGCTGGCTGCAGTCAGCGGCCGCATGAGGAAACCACATGTCGTCGCAACCCTTTTCAAGTCAAGCGACCCTCAATACTGGACCTGAAGCAATCACCAAAAGAATCGTGGAAAAGACATAGCATCAGTGGCTGCTCTGTAACCCCAGGAAGGTGAAGCAGACAGCAGCAAACCACCACAAGATCTGGGTTGCACAGCGTCGTTTATGACGCCAAAGCTCTGATGATGCGGACACCCTGCACTGGCCGAACTGTGCCTGCCTGCATGACAGATTTACGAGCTTGCTGAAACTCCACCCATACTTTATTGCAGGATACAGCGCCCGACTCTTCGTGCTTGAAGCCCCTAAGTCCGCCTTCCTCGAGGGAGGAATCCTCAACCACTCCGGCAGGTCCAGGGTCTGCGCAGGTGGTTCTATCTTCGGGCTCGTGCACTTTGTGGTTTGGGGTTTCGGGCTTCGGGCGTTTAGAAGTTGAGAGTGTTGGGCTTCGGGGATGCCTCCATGCTCTTCTTGTCGACACGGTAGTGGAAGCCGTCCCGATAGATGGTTACAACCTCGGTACAGTCTCGGCGCTTTGATTTCAGCAAGCTTCGCATTGCCGTGGACCTGAAGCCTTCGGCTCCAGAAGTATCCTTTAGATCTTCTGGGCCTTATTCGGGCCCTGAATTTAGGCGTCGTTACCCGTCGAAGATAGCTCTGTGGTAAGAAACCCGCCGGCCCCGTCCGAAGATCCCGTCAGTGCATACATGTGCATACCACGGGGAAAAACTCGTGCGACACCTTGTTTCGGGTTCTTTATGTTAAGACTGGTAAGAATCTTACTATTTAGGGTCCATACTAGGCTCCCGCACTTTCCGATGCCACCACATGTGGTTGAGATCCCGATGAGTCTTTGGAATTCCGTCCCAGGGCCATGGCGGCTGCGCTGCCGGAGACTGAGAAACAGCGGCCGTTGCGCCTCGGCCACGACACTTCAAAACCCCTTGGGGGCTCTCCAGCACTTCAAAAACACTTTAGAGCTTAGTTATAGGGTTCAGGTAGTTTTTTGCAACGGCCATGCAATGCGCCACAGATACCGGGGAAAAATCTGTGCGCGCAAGTGCAGATTGAGGCGGTGTAGAGTTACTCTTTCAGCAGGGAGCGAGGGTGGAGCGTTACGGAAAGAGCAACGGTGTGAGCCTCAAACCCTTCCGAGTTCGGGGCTGATCGTCCGACAGCTCCTCCCCGTGCCGAGGCATTGCGGCTGCAAAACCAAATCTCACCCCCGTCGACATGACGAACCCAGCGCTCAAACGCAGAGCAGACACGAGGGTCATGTAGCAACAATGCCTAAAGACATTTTAGGGGCAGGAAGAATGACGTTGTAGCGGATTGCAGCAATCACAAGCTGCAGTCTCTGTCCTCGACGCCCTCGAGCTGCAGCATGTCCCCAGGCCTCTGGTAGTCAAAGCGCAGACAGACACCTCTCCACTCCTTTCAAGCCGAAGCCCACCCGAGAAGTGTAGGACGAGGGGGGCCCCTAACTTTTCCCTTTGCGGTTTAAGACTCTTTAAGATCTCTTGTCTGGGACCCCCGGCCCGGCGGTCTGAAACATGGCGGCCCATCGGCCGTGCAGCTGCAACTGACCACAAAGCTGGGATCTGGGATCCGGCAGACGGTCTAAGGCCGTTTACGTAGGGCCATTCAAGTTTGTAGGCTTCGTGTTCTCGTCTTTGGGGTCACGAGCGAGGCGAACGGTGATCCCTAGAATGGAACGAGCTTATGTTCGAATCGAACGTGAGCCACTGGATGGACTCTACACGTGTGCAAACCAGGTCTGGCCTCGTCTGCAGCATCCTCGTCACTTTGGGCCCTTGGCTGGACCGAGACTTCGTGTCTCGCTTGAATGTGGTCATCCACCAAGTCTGCAACAGTAGCTAGCTCCTGCCTTCCTCAAGGACTGAACTGGGGTCTGCGACTCCATGCTCCGATATTGAGCATTCTCCAGGCGGGCGGATGGCCAGTTCTGACATGGCACGGACCTTTTGGATTCTGCGTTCGTGTCTCGAGTTAACACTGCACCATCAACACGACGTCTGAAATCTCAATCCCGGCGCACTTTAGCCGCTCAAGACCCGGAAAGGTTGGGGTTCTGTGGGCAAAGGCACAATGGTCGACTCGTGTCGTCCAGGGAGCTGCCGTGCGCAAACTGCAGGAATCATACTGAGTTCACAGCACAGACCCAAAATCCGGGTGCCCGGCATGGTGATGCTCATCCGCAGCAACAACGTGTCATATGGGTCATCATCTGCCAACAGCGTTGGCAAAGTGGTGCGGACAGCCGAACTTCAAAACCCTGGCTTCTCTAAACCTTGGCTTGGGGTAGATGCTGGCAATGGTTTCTCGTAGTTTTCGCTGAGCGCCCCAAAAGGTTATCCGGAATGTGGCACCGCATGGCTGGCCGGGGCCACCGCATCACTTTCATCGCTGAAACACGGAGGACGTTTTCCGCCCTTCTGTCGAAACGGCCCTGGTATCTAAAGATGTCCTGCCGCAGTCTTCATGCCTGACACATCTGTTGTACTCTTACAGGGCATGAAGTTGATCAAGCTGCTGGCCGTGGGCGTTCACCGCGGTCCTTTAGCCGGCAAGACATGACAGCCTCCATTTCGGATGCGGTCTGCGCGGGTCAGTTGGTTAAGTTTGTCGCTTGCTGCGGGCTACATCCTATGGCAGCAAGAAAACAGCAGGGTGCTTGACTTTAAGGCTGATGAAGTCGCGACTTGGGACCCCTTTCCCACTTAACGGCAGTATGACTCTCGTTCAAGTCGGGCTCCTGAGTGCTTCGCTTCGCAATTCTCCTTCGAGTCTTCAACACCAAATTTATCCGACTTGGTCCCATGATCCTTCAGATTCAAGCAGACATGTGAGAAGGCACCCTGCCAACTCTACAGCCGCACCTTCTGGAACGGTATCCTGCTGCTCGATACCTGCACACAAGTTTGGGGGCTTATAAGGGGTTCCAGGAACGTGGTTTCAGGTCCCTTGCGCCACCAGGTCCACGAGCCTTCTCACGGGCTGAGTGCTGGGTGACAGGCGGTGCAGACTATCGCCAAGGGGACTGTTACCAGTCGTGAGAACTTGAGTAACTTGGGCAAAGACCCAGCAAACTGCACACCCTGATGTTCTCCGCACCTCGATGGTACCGCACTTCACAGCGTATTATAACTGCCTTCAGCGTGGCGGCGGAAGGCTCATGGGACCATTCAGGACACGGCCGGGGAAATGGATGAATCTGAAACCGCATGGCCCCACACCCGAACCCGGAGCCTGCGGATGCCCGAATCTAGAGCCCTCAGCATCTGCGAGTGAGGCCTGGAGTCCTAACCTTCTACTGGCTGTAAAAAAGAGACTGCATGCGACAATAGTCTGAAGGACCCTGGTTTTTGAAAAGCGTGTAAATATGTAGAGGGAGAGTGTTCCGAATCCGGGGCAAATCTCAGGACAACCAAACATGCGTGATTGTGGTCCGCACAGCCGGCCTCTTCTGTCATGGCGATTGCCGACTGCTTAGGGAAAGAACAGAGCAAGGCGCTAAATCTAGCAAGCTTGCAGCACCCGACTACTCTGCTTGCTGAACTCGGCATATACGCGGCTCTTGTAGTCTCCTGCGGTTCCTACGAGATTGTTCGGTCCTAGTCGTCCGAGTCATCGTCCTGTTAGGCTCATGTATCCTTGGATCCTTATCTTCCGTTTTTGCTCTTTCTTCTTTCGGCAAGCGTTGAAGGGCCTTTCAGCTCAGCTCTTGGTCATCTTGCAGACTTCAATGCGCATTGACCCTTCGAGCCGACCGCCCGCAGACTTCATGAGGGCTGAAGGGATTTCGGGCTTCGAGGGGTTAGCCAAGCCAAAGCCAGGAGCGGACCAGGAATGGACCAGACTGCTCGCTGCTTGCTGCCAATGCTTTGGCTCGGCAGGGTATGAGAGCGAAGAACCACAAGAAGTGCTGTCTTGCAACTGTAAAACCGCTCCACCATGTACTAACCCGACCATGTTGGAATTATTCTACTTGATGTTGCTGTAGACATCTCGCTCATGGTTGCAACAACAATCAGCTGCGGAGTGGTGTTTAGACAACGCCTTGCTCTGTGCTTCTTGAAACCAAGCCCGCATCTTGGGACTTGTGTCAGCTTCCAAGGGCCCAAAAGCCCGACAAGCTGCCTCTATCGAAGGCTGTGAAGGCTACGCGCTAGTTTACAAGAAGCTGACCATGAAGCTGTGTTCAGGGTGGCAGTTCAAAGCAAGGCATCCCACTTCTCGTTCAACCCTTTCTCACCTGAGGAGGTGTAAGCCCCCAACTGATTCTTCGTCCCTCGTCCCGCTAGGGCTCGGCGCCTGCCTTGCCCGCATCTGAGAGCAAGGCTTCCAGACTCACCTCCGTGTCGCTGTGCAATCGGAGCACTCGATCACCAGGGAGGAGTAGTCGCAAAGAGTGGGCTGGTATGCCAACTTCCTCCTGTATGCGGTAGCAAAGGCTCTCCACAAAGCCGGTGGCTGCAACGTCCACAGACAATGTTGCAAGGTGCTTGCCACTGATCTGTGTGGCACTTATCTTGGCATATCCTTCTCTGGCCTCGTCCTTCTCCAAGGTCAAGTTGGCCAGCACAGGCTTGGCATCCTCATTTACCCAGAGCTGTCGGCATTTCAGCTCCTTATCGAACAAGGACGAATCACCATCTAAAGTAATCTGCTGCTGGTACACAACTCGACCAGACTCGTCGAACAGCTGCACCGTGTGGCCACACAGACGCATCCGATGGTCATACTCATCATCAGACATGTTAAAGATAGCAAAGCTCTCCACATTGGTTGGCCTGGCTAGCTCCACTTCGAGCCAGCCATCGTCTGCATGCGCGGTGTGATTCACACGGCCCCAACGGTTGCCATCGATAACCAGACGGGCTGGTCCATACCCTTCACCAGTACCATGCATGGAGGACTGGCGAGCCTGGCCTCCATTCGTTTGCAAAGCATGATTGATGCCATCGCACCCATAGATCTCAATCTGGTTCACATGGATAGGATTAGAAGCACTGGATTGGTTTATCCGGAGCTTCTTGACTGCGAACCAGCCTAGCTCCTCACCCTCAGGACCCACCTGATTCTTTACGAAGCGCTTGGGAAGACCGTCGAAAGAAGTCGAGGCCATTGGCTGCTGCTCCAAGGCCTCCTCGCTACAAATCTTCCGAAACGGCCACACATGGACCATGCATGGCAGGGACATGTTCGGCACATGGTACCCGTGTCGCCACCCGAAACGTCACCACCAGACACTCCCCATACATCCGAGAGTCTCCTCGGCATCGTCCGAGACAGGGCCACCAAAGCCTAGCCTGCCTCAACCTTGTCAGCAAACGAGACTCACTGGGGGAATCGCCACAGAGGCAATTGTTGCAGCGTGGAGTTTGGCTTAAGGCTTTCGGGCTACTAACTCTCTGCTGGGCACGAGCAGGACCGAGTCGCGGGACGTGTGGAAACGGGTGATCGGCGCGCCCTTGGAGTTGAAGGGAGTCTTCAGACCCTCCCGATTAGGGGGAAGGAAGCTGAAGGGACCAGAAGACCCAAAACCTTACGAAACCTAAGCGGTAGAGTTCGAGCCCCGAAAAGGGTACCTGTATAATCTTGAAAGTTTGGGTGTAGGGTTTAGGGCACGAGCGTGAAAAGTAAGCCGAATGCATTTTTCAGCATCACTCCACAAGAAAAAAAGGATTCCGCATGCAACCGTGGCTGCCAACCGGCGTAGGCCCTAAGCCGTCATACAGTAGCAAAGCTGAAGTTCTTGTTGTGTTCTTGCCCGGGCATAGTCGACGACACTATGTCGCGCTGCTGGCAGACACTTTGCTTGAAATCTTCAGCCGGTGCAAGACGGAAACGGTTTTCTGGTACTAATTAATCGACGTCCATCGATTGCACAATAGCGCGTCTGTCGGTCATCATGGGTGCCACGCCAAAGGGTGCCAGGCACCCCCGCGACGACACCACGGAGAACGATCAATTGCACTTCGTGCGCTGTTCGAGCAGACATTCTTTGGATAAACGCTGAGCCACGCACACAGCTTCCCTACTCAAACCCCCTCGCCATTGAGTGGCGGCTCAGGTGCGACTGCTTCAAATCCACAGAATCGGGGCTTCCGCTTAGAGACTTCGAATTCCGAATCACAAGATGCAAGACCATGGGAGTGCGGAAGCCCGGACTGACCTACTGCAGAAGCTTAATGCTTGCCGTTCGCGATTCGACCCGATGCCATGTGACCAGAAGGCCCAAACTCTCTGCACTTTACAGTCTTATCAGACACGATGGGCCATCCGACGAAACGACGGCTTGACATCTGTTCGGAACAAACCGAACATCAGCGGGACACATCTCAGAGACAAATTCCATCTCGAGCTGAAATCATAAACATCAGGGTGAGATTGCGTACCCTGACTTCAAGGGCCGGGTCTTCGGCTGTCAGGCACCCGCAGATCAAGTCTCGCTACAAAACAATAAGAACTTCCAAGCTTTGCTTTACCCCGCCGGAACTACCTGGCCCCGATTCTCCCACGCCATGGCCGTGGTGGCTTGCTCAGCTATAGGCGGCCGCAAACTTCACATACAAGGGACTTTCAAATTTAGGTGTCCTGCATTGTTGGCCAGGCCGCCTGTCCTTCGGCCACGGGTGAAAACAAATCAGGTGTGAAACGGCTTGAACTGGACGCACGGCCACGCGCTTGGCGCCGAATGCCAAACAGAATCAAAGTTGAGTTTCTGAGCATGAGATTACTGCTGCTCTGAGGGGGAACTGAAACTCCCCTCAAGAGGGGGCCCCAAGGCCCTTGTATCACGATCACAGGGTCAAAGTGAGCAAGGGAGCAGCTCCCAACGAGTGACCATTGAGAAGCTGCTGACCTCAGATAAACATCATCGAAAGAGAAGGTCTTTCATGACAACGGTCACGATTGTTCTAATATGTAGTCGTGATGGTACAGTAGTCTGATGTGTAGACATGGTAGAAGGCGTAGGAGTAGCCGTGGTAGTTCCTGTCCTCGGAGCTCCTGCTCCTGCTATTCCCCACCGCCTTCCGCGGAGGCAATGATGTCGCTGTCGTGACAATCCGGCTTTGGTTCTCAAGCTACTTGAGCCGCCGAGCTCTTCTTTTCTTCTTTGCGCGGGTGCACCCTTTATGTTTTTGGGGCCGCATTTCTGAGTAGGGACACGCTCGGCGTTGGCGCGGCTGCATCGATTTTTTCTCCCCTTCCGTGCTTGGCTTTGATGTGCTCCAACAGAGCTGCACAATTGCGCATATTAGCTCTGGAACCCTTATGAAGCCCTGTTCCATCTTTACTCCTCCAATGAGAGCGTGCATGCGGTGTTCCAGCGCAAGACATGCTGAAGGAACTAGTACCACCCCTCTTACTCTCGAGCTGCCGAGGATCTACAGTCCGAGGATCTACAGTCGAAAGACAAGTGCTACGAGTAATTACGAGTAGCCCTAGCCATGAAGTGCCGAACTCACCTTTACTAGGCGGGTCCTGCGTTGGCTTCTCTCACTTATCGGGGGCTTTCCAAGCGACCGTGCGAAATGACCCCGTCATCGTTCGTGTGTTTCACCTGCCAAAGGGTGGCAACACAACACCTGCACACCGACATCGCAAAACTGCCTGCAAACACCAGAAGTCGGACCCCTTGACAGGGTTTCAGGTCCTTGCAGAGCAGAGTCTCTTCAAGGCCGACAGATCGACGAACAGAGCATTCGGGGGCCGTCACTGGACATCTCCCCAGTCTCTCTCTCTCTCTGTCTCTCTCTCTCTCTCTCTCTCTCTCTCTCTATATCTATATATACATATATATATATATTATATATATATATATATCTCTCTCTCTCTCTCTCTCCATTGTCAAGTATCTCGATCAAGAGAGAAGGGCCTTCTTGGGAACTTTGATGGTCTTGGTGGGTGCCGGAAAAAGGGTCCGGCTGCCCCTGTAGAAAAGCACCTTGGTCTGCTCTTGGGTTTCGCTTTAGAGGCTCGGATCTTCGAGCACTGAAGAATCGAAAGCTGTACCGAGTTTGCTCCGAGAGACAGGTTTGCACTCGTCCGGCACGCTGGAATGCATCACGCTGTTGTTCCTCTACTTTGCCAGGACTCACAGGCGGCTTCCGGCCGGAAACACAGGAAAATGTTTCTGAGAGCGTCCGAGCTTCCGATAGTACTCGATGGCTTCGCTCAACCCCTGATGCCGCGCGCACCAGCAAACCTCAGCGACTTGAACCTGGCATCCGGTGCGCGAGTTGCGGGGTGCCAGGTATTGAGTTGGACCGGCATCGAGCTCCGGAGCCTTGCGAGATTAAGGTTCTAAATACTCTTGTTGAAAGGGTCTCTGCTGCGGGTTCTGCATGTCCAGCATGGGTCATGCTCACTGAATCCGTACTTCCTCTCTATTTCCGCCATCTTCCGCCCAAGGAACGCTGGGGAACCCCCAGTTCTTGAAGCCTGAGAAGTGCTTCCAAAAGCGGTTTACCGTGTCCTTGGTTTCTGTTTGGAAAGAGGAAAAGCAGGATCCTTTTGTGTTGTTCCTCCTCGACAACATTACGGCACCGAACTTCACAACAAGTAAAAAGGATGCCTGACATTGACCAAGTGTCTGTATCTTGAAAGTTGATGAAGGCATAGCACAAGGAGACCTTCTCCTGGCAAATTACGGCGGCCATGGAAAGTCGGAGTATGGCTTCAAAAAAGGATTCTGTTAGAGCTTCTATCATCGGGAATTTTACATGGTGTGGTCTTTAGACCTTTTGGTCGCGTCGGGTTGTGTTTCGGGTCGTAGGGGTCGGGCCAGGAGGGCCCATAGACACCGAAATCCAAAAAATGAACTGGTAACGCCGAGAAAGGCTCCTTGAAGCAAAGCGGGACGTAAAGAAAGTCGAAGGTGCCGGCAAAGCCTTAGACTCAGAGCTCTGCCACTGCTGAAAAGCTCTCTTCTCACAGAAACAGAAAGGCCGTGTGGTACCAAGGAATTGTTGCTCACGGCGAATATCAGGATGTAAGGGTCATCCGGATTTACAGATCGGACTGATCACAGATTGACCGAAGAAATGATCAGAACCTGGTACACATCGCTTGTAGGGTTGGGGAGCTCACTTAAGAGGCAGCGAAGCTTGCTGGTGGTCGGCCTTCTGACTCCCGCCGGTGCTGATACCCCTAGTGGTGGACAGCAGGCCCTGGGCTTCCCTCGCCGGTCTTGCTGCCAGCGCTCTAGACGCTAGATTGTCGCCGGAGCAGACCCATCCAAACCAGGTAGCATGTGCATCCAAGAAACCGAACGGAAAGACAGGTGGAGAGAAGTCTAAACTCTGCCAAGACACCCTCCCTGGCCAGCAAATAGATCAAGCGCCCACGAGAGAAACATGGGGGAAGGTTGCGTAGCATCACCTGCAGAAGCTCAACAAGTCAAATTGAAATGCGTGAGGGCTGTGAAGGCTCCAGGGCTCTTTCGGGGGTTGCCTACCACCGCGAGACTCCGAGAGTGTAATTCTATGAGTCTCGAGCTTTGATTGCCCCGTCTCTGCATATGGCTTCGAAGATTTCTAGCCCGGGGTACCAGTACAAGGATACCCATCCAGATGTGTTGGCAACCGGCAGAGCTCATCCTGAACATAAGGTCTGGGTCGAGTGGTGTGTCATGTTGGCTTCAGGCAACGGCAACCCTGGAACCCATCTGCCGCTCCTGGACAAACCCGGCCCAGATACAAGTTGAAGACCACAGAACATGACTGAAACAAGCCCGACACTAACGAACATGTTAGCCAAAATTCAACGGCGGTGCAGTAGCGCCTTTTTGGTCGAAGCGCAATCGTGCGCCCGGCCAGGCGCACCNNCGGTGCCGGGGCCGGGGTGCGCACTTCAGCGCCCACCCCCGGACCCCGCCCGAGTCGGCGGGCGCCGGCCGTGTGACGAAAGTCGAACACTTAAACACCTCTGGGGTGAGGCGGGCGGGAAATCAAAAGCGGTCGAGCCGGCGATAGCTGCACGGCCCGACGCTTAGGCTTGTTCCTACACACACGTGTGTTTCACAACAAGCCCGACGCTAACAAACATGCTAGCCAAAATTCAACGGCGGTGCAGTAGCGCCTTTTTGGTCGAAGCGCAATCGTGCGCCCGGCCAGGCGCACC